AAGAAATACAACTCCAAAGAGGGCACTAACTTTTTTTCATAAAAAGAGGAGTAATAGTTTGATGATGAAACCTTTTCTCCTGTAAGCAAATTTTAAGTACTCTGTGACATACTCTAAGCCTTTCTAACCTTAGAGTATGATTCTCAACTATCTTGAAGAGAGTGAAATATCAGCACACCGTGGCAGGTCAATTATTTCAGAACAGTTGTCCTGGCATCTGAGGTTCCCGGTAGTTCTTTACCTAGCATATCCGGAAGATAGGGACTTCAAAGAGTCATAAAAATCTACCACAATTTCATTCAAAGGGAAGAGATATTTAAGCATAACCCTATTTTCATCAATAAACATCATATCCTTCTGAACTGCCCTTCGAGCCTAAAAAGGGAAAGAAAAAAAATCAGTGTAATGATAACCTACCCAAATATTGATTTAAACTAACACAGAGAGATGTAAATTACCAAGTTACAAATCCTAATCATAAAGACTAGGCAAAATGAAGGAATAGTGTGTTTCTTAATGGTCTAGTAAAAACTTGTGAGCAATATTTATAATATAAGGAGAACCATTTTGTATTTCAGTTACATATACTGGCCACTGAAGCTTTTAGTTCTGTCTTTATATAACGGTTTTATCTTTTTAAATCACACAGTATTTCATTTAACAATAAATCAAATGTAACTGCATATAAAGTCAAAATCCTAATTTGTTTTACAAATAAAGAAATTTGATCCAAAGAAATTAAGTGACTAAACAAAATTATAGTCTAGGTTATGAGTTTGTGATAACAGAATTAAATCTCAAGTCACCATTTGACACACTTTCTAGTATATGTCACAGTATTTCACACAGGTATTTTCTGAGGAATATGATTACAGCGCATTCATGAATTAAATGATTTATCACAATGTGGCAAGAACTAAAGCAAAATGGGGCTAGGGTCCCTGAAGTATAATTATCTTTCAAACTATGTTCAATTTCAAGTACTCAAAATGCTAAAAGAAATTATACTTTTTGCTACTTTGGGATAAATAAGCATCAAATTTCTTTCCTTTGGGCTAAAATATCAATTCAGTAAATTAACACAGATGATCAAAAATACTGATTATATTTTTCTTATTTAAAATCAAAATGGTTGAAAAAGTGTATCT